GACTACCACCGCCCGTGGGCGATGGTATTCGTCCTGTGTGTCATCTCAGCCGACTCGCACTCTGAGGTAGAACCCGGGACTACCACCGCCCGTGGGCGATGGTATTCGTCCTGTGTGTCATCTCAGCCGACTCGCACTCTGAGGTAGAGCCCGGGACTACCACCGCCCGTGGGCGATGGTATTCGTCCTGTGTGTCATCTCAGCCGACTCGCACTCTGAGGTAGAACCCGGGACTACCACCGCCCGTGGCCGATACAGGATAAGGTGGGGCTCGCTTCGACCGTGATCGGCAGGGAACGTCCGGCGTCCGTCTGCAAGCTTCGGTGTTGATGTTGTTGGTAGACCCATGGCCCTTTTGCATTCTTAAATCTCATGGGTGAATTTGCAACATATCTCACATGACAGACGGCACAACTCAAGTGACATAGAGAACTGTCGAATAGTAGCCCAGCGTGGTGCTCGCGAGTGAGCCACTGAGAGGCCGTAATTGGGATCTGTTATTTTCGGTGAGTCGTGAAACCAGCGGCCAGTTTTTAGTACTTGTGAGGAACAAGTGGGAGCCACAAACGAAGGCCTGGTCTTTGTGGATGAGCTAGTCTGAACCAGGAAGTTTTTTTATTGTTTTCAAAGGAAGCAGGAATCCATAATTTTACTCGCAGAAGGACCAGTGAGGACCAGGAACCAGGTTGGGGTCTTACAACCAATGTGATCCAGGAACCCGTGGTGTCCTTTATCAAAGATCATCCAGAACCATGGTCTAAGATCTGGTTTTCAGGAGTCGGAGGGGAGAACCGGAACCAACATAGGGACCCAGGCAGGTGTCCTTTCACGACCAGTACTAAATAGAAATCGGGATTCGCGGTGTGCACAGCCGCTGTGCGTCCTCTCCTGTCGTGTGCGTCTCCCGTCTCCGTCGTCTCCCGTCGTGCGCGTCTCCCGTCTCCGTCGTCTGCCGTCTCCCACCACCTGCTAGCTGGACACCGTCCCAGTCAAGCAATGGTTAGAGAGGAAGTTTTCAGGAGCGTGGATAGAGTACAGCATAGTGCTCACAGCAAATCTCCCACCTGATAGGCTCAGGACGCGCTGCGCATGGTTCGGTCATGGAGGCGCGAATGCTGGCTGCCGCCGGGAGCGTTTGCCGGGTCAAAGCGAGCGGCCCCGTTCGAATTCTATTCGACTTTCCTCCAAACGATTTTTTCCATTTGACTTTTTCTCCGGGAAACGTTGTCGACACTCAATGAATCGGGCCTGAGGCGGACTTCTATCTCCGAACCGGGTGCTCCCAATCTTGATTTCGTGCTTACCCGGATATTGTGCTTACCTGGATATTGTGATAACCTGGATCTTGTGCTTACCTGGAGCGCACAGCAGCAGCGGAGGAAACCCAGCCGCTATCGGACTGTACCTCGTGAGCCTCTGCACGCACATGAGGCGAGGGCGGCCCGACCTCTGGCGTCGAGTGAGCTCCAACCTTCCACCCGAGGTGCCCAGTAGCTGCCGCTCGCCAAGTGGACAAGATAGCGGCCTGGACAGTCTGGCCTCTGCCAGCCTGTTCCCCGGGACCGTCCGCTTTCATACTGGCGACCAGAGATGGGTGGTGCGCCGTCATGTCCACGGACGCGGCAAACGCCGGACAATGGTGCGACCATCAGCCGCCTTCGACCTGATTTCATTCTTTCTCGCTCTCAGTCGGTGCTGCCACTTTCTGTGGCGACTCCACCGCCTACATGACAGGGGTGAAAACAGGCATCGCTCGTGAGCAACAGGCGTGCCGGAGTCTTTGAAAAAATAAAAAAGGTTTAGCCTTTCCGCAAAGTGGGTAAGCTCACGTCAGCTTACTCATACTCAGGGCGGTGACCAGCTCACGCCGGCAAGATATACAAGCTCCAGGGGTTTGGGCTGCCGCGGCCAAGTCCTTTGGGTGCGTTTAATCATACTAGCTCTGACTTCCAGGAAAAACAAACGATATGTCACCTTTATTGCAACAACTTTTTTGAGTTCCTCAGGGCAGAATCGGGAGGCCGTCTCGTCTTTACCTAGGCATCTCAGATGCTGGTGTTTCTCGGCATTGCAAACCATTGCAGCGTGGCCCAGAGACAGGGGTGTAGTGGTTTCAAACCCTCCCCCAGTTTTGAGACAAATTTGAGGCCAAGCCGGGGAAACATTTATTTGCTGGCGTTATTTGTGGGCATGTTACGACACTAGGCCTTCCTCCCCGCCCTCTTTCTCTTCTGAGCTCATTTTGCGCTGCTGCACCCCTGCCCGGAGATGAGCACGTACAACATCCGCGCACTGCGTGTCTATGAGATCGCTTGCTTGTGTGGCTGAACTTTCTGCAAGTAAAGACTAGAGGATTATTTGCCATTTATGAACCAATCGGCATGTGTTGCCTGAGGTCTCTCATCTTTACTCTCCCAGGGGTGTGAGCCAGTGAAATGCGAACCTATTCACCTGACCTGCCCATCTATACAGGTAGTGCTGCATTGTTTCAGCGCCGGTATGGTATACGTATGTCGTTCAAAGTCGTGCGGATCATACTCGCTCCTTTATATCGCGTTTCTGATCATGTGAAATGAATTTCAGAAAGGCTGCCGTGAGCTGTTGTTCGCCGGCCGCGGACCACACCGTCTTCGTTGCCGGAAATGGACTGGACGACTCTTTGTTTGTTCTGCTTGTCAAAGACGTCAGCGTCCACCTGCACACGTGCCAAAGTGTAGAAGTCGGAATGATTTACCTCATATATCACCTATAAATGACTGCACACGCAGTGCATGGTGTCTGTACGGTGTGCGTAGCGACGGTGTGCCCACACAGTGTATGAGACACTTGTAGTATGCAGTGCCGTCTAAATATCATTGCAATAAAGCATGACCCAATATATTAATTTCTTGTATCAGGCATTAATTCAGAAGTGTGCACGTGCCGATAGGCAATCAAGCCAAATGCCTTGGTAGTTCTCTGCGGTGCTAGGTGTCCAACTTGGTTATGCTGAGTGAGTGCGAATTTGCAGCGATTTCGATAGAAAATAAGCAATCTATTAAGGAGTCTTCGACCATTTCGCATTTCGACACGCGGCATGCTCCGAGTTCGCAATTGTTTACTGTTCGATAGAATAAGTGCGTGGTGTTTGCTTCGGATCACCGCAGGTTGCATGCTGTTTGCAAATTGCTGCTGAACTCATTAAGAGTTGCTGCTAAATCATGACCAGCCGAGTACACCCCAGACTGGTGGCGCCCGGCAGGGATGGTGTGACTTCCTGACACCCGTCGGTGATGGTACGACTCCCCAATTCGTCCTGCACGCATGGAAAAGAGTCATATGGCGATTATTTGCCAATTTCAACGCCCGAAATCAAGGACCTGACCCCTCATCGGGCTTCATGACTCCTTAAGCAAAACCAAATCTGAAGCGGACTTCTGTGGGGGATGTCACATGCACAGCCAGGGCAGTCATTTGAGGAGTCACGAGAAAGAATTGACTGCCCTGAGGAGTGTCCTGATTCTCGACGAAGGTGTTATGTGGGGAGTCAAATGTAGTTGAAATACATCATAAGAACCACGCGCTCTCCGTAGGGACGGACTTTTGATATATCGCGTAACTCTCTACAATGGTTTCAGAACTTCTTTCGGTTGAATGAAAGAATGAAATAAGAGCAAATAGATAAATAATAAAATAGATAAGAGCGAGCTCTAGTAGGTTGCCATCATCAAAGCCATCTATTGGCTTTTCCTTTCCGCCGCGTATGTACGGATGATGCGTGCCGCCCGTATGATAACCTGAGAGGTTTGCCTTCTGCATAGACACATGAAATGTCGCGCTATGGGAGGCGCTCCACCAACATATGCAACAAACGACTCGAAGCGCCTGTGAGCTCTCAATCCTGAACAGTGAACGAACCCCTGCGCTTCTGTGTTCATCGGTCATTTCCTCGCCGCATACCACCTACAGCAGCAGGTGAGCCTTTCTCCTTGTTCAGAGCGGGCTGGGATATCACGGGGATGCGCATTCAACTTCAAGCTTTTTCCTTGGATGCAGTAGTAAGCGAGCTTGGATATTACGTTTTCTTCGATGTGGTTCTCCTCGTCGTATTCGAAAGGCAGAGAGAGATCGATCGCTGACGAGTGGCGCCCCTTGGGTCACCGGGCATTGCGAACGACAGAAATCCAGGAGACGGAGCGGGTGCAAATCCGTCAATTTCTGTCCCTCCAGCTCGCCCATCATTACGAGAGGATCGCTAGCGAGAGCGAGAGACAACAAACTGAGGTACGTTTTGGTGTCAAGTCGAGCCCAGTTCTCTGGACCGGAGTACCCTAATGTGACCTCCGGCGTTCCGACCCGCTGGCATTCCAGTCGAGCCTTTGATCGCCTGTCCCGGGAGCCTGAAAAGCCCTTTGAAACCTAATGAAGGGAGCATTTGCCCCCCCCCCCCCCCTTGCCTGCTCCCCGTAGATTTGTCCTTTGGCTTCCACAAACCTTTGACGATTCCAGGCCGAAGTTTGCGCAGATTTATTTGGGCTTTCCGAATGTATGGCAATAAAAGAGCACGATTTTGCCCCGCTCCACCCAAATCTTTATAAGGCAGCTTGCCCGGCTGCTCTTTCTCCCCTCCCCACGGAGAAGCTATCATTAGCGGAGGGCCTATCGTGTCAATTACCCAGTGCTTTGCGTCAGCCCAGGAACAGGCCTACCGCTCAGGGCAGCATCTATGGCCAAGAAAAGAAAGCCCCATAATTTGACAAGTATTCTTGTCACGTTTTCCAAGGACTTCACAGGTAAGAGCTGGTCTGTGATGGATAATACAAGAACGATGAAGAAATTAACTATTCGATCGAATTTTGTTCCCCGTGGAAAATATTTTTGCCCCGATAGGAAAACAAATAACATAAATTCATTTCATCAGGAATCAGCTGCTGGCCGTGGCTGTCAGCAGACAAATCTTACGCATATGAGCGTAAGAGTTGCGCGCAAAAACAAATAGTTCAACAAAGCATGCATGGAAATGCATCGGCATGATTGCGTGCGGTGTGCGTGATTGGACGCCATTATGTATTGGATTCATGAGGCATTACGCAGGTCAATGAAATTAAAGGTAGTATTGGCTCTGGCCTCGGTTATATACTCAGTTGGGCTGTTACGCATCGTGTCACAGCAGCAAGGCAGATGTATATTTACATTTGCTGTCCTTTGCTCGTGGAATTCATTATCATCATTTGATATTAATTCTCGTGGAATTCATTGTTATCATCATTTGATATTAATTGTGTGAGGTGACCTTTCTTTATCCTGGATGAACTTCACTTTGATACTTAAGACTGTTGTTGTGAGGAAAGCATCTCAAGCCATCTTAACATCTGCTATTAATTTGGTGTTGTGTATTTTAAGCTGTCTAATTAGGATTTTGAGGCTTAACCTGCATTACTGCTTTCAAGGGGGCTTGTGCATCACAATATTTTAGAGAAAGGTGGTTTTCACTGACAGCTTGTCATATGGTAACATGTGCTATTAAATTTGCCTGCTGGTCTTCTCTTAGGCACAATCGCTGCTGAAAAATGTGAAAAGATTATGGGAAGTCGCATGGAATTCCTTCAAAAATAGGATCATTTAACACAATATATTACAAACGTGTGATTTTGACTAAGGAAGGCACCATTTTCCCCCTGAAACTGGCATATTCACATGTTGTCTTGTCATCGTTAAATGACATATGATTATTACCTTACATAATCCATAGCTACACTTGGTAAGCGTAAATTGTGTGTGTACCACCCACCTCTAGTAGGCTATGCTGTAAGAACATCAAAAATTGCAATATGTGGCACTGGGTGTAAAACTACAGAGCACTAGAAAGTAAAACTTCTCGCACGTATCGAAAAGCCACTAGCCAAAATTGTTGAGCTCAGTTTATTGGGAGCTGTTGCCAAACAGAAGTGCATAGGGCTTTATGCACCATATGCTGACAGAACATGATCACCCTTCCCACCCCCAGATCACCCAAACCCTCTTTGGCCCATTGTCAACAATCAACAGTTATTTCAATGCCAGTCACACCACACAATCTGCTGACTTTGGGGTTCATACCTAGTGCCACTGAATTACATGTCCCATATCAGTATCTGGAACCACCAAAGGGCCAAAGGTGCTAAAAGGCTGTTGAAGATGAATGCAATACTTAAGATACTGAACATTTTGTAGCACTGAACTTGATAAGGCCTGATATGGGTAGTAAGCATAACCATAAAGCATAAGGTAAGACATTTTAGAATGCATGGAATAGTGCATGGACAGGTGTGTAGAACAAAGTTTTCCAAGGAATAGCTGAAGACCATTGATTTAACCACCAGTGTTGGTTTAGGCCCTCAATAGTGGTTTATGCCTAACATGAATTTAATTTTTTTACAAAATATAATGCTTAAGCATTCACTGAGGGTAAGTTAAATGTCATACAAGTGCTGTCTTATTTGGGTGTTATTTCATGGTCACCACTGCTATTCTGCTGAAATAAAAGGCTATTTGACGAACAATACAAAAAACAAAACTGGTGCTAATTGAAATAAGCTGGTCAAAATCCATTGACAGACAAACATTTTGGAAAGTTTGGGTTGTTGATCCCCCGCGTGACCTCTCGCTTTTTCGTCCCATGTGATCACATTTTGTCCTGTTGTTTCCGTCCTAATTGTTTCTGTTTTGGTCTTAATGACGTTAATTGACGCCTCTTCCCGTAGGTATGAGTGAGATGGAAGACGCGCGGGCGAGCACGCAGAGGCGCCTCTATCTTCTGCAGGGGGAGCTCCAGAAGATGGCCAAGGATGTGCCACGGTATGTCTGAGGATTAATGCACACATACATTTCAGTGCGTAGTTCAAATTGGTCTCAAAAGCAGGCAATGTGAACCCAATCAATATAGTCTACCATCCCCAAAACAATGGCACTGGCTTTTTGCCTTTTTACCTTGTTACTGGATGCATGCCTTCGCTTCACAATTAGTTAGTTAGGTGGCCAGATCGTTGCAGCCCCGGTTTAGATTTGTTGGATCTTTTAACGCAGTGTTGTAGCATGCCTTCCTGCATGACAATTGCCGCACGTGGCATAACTTTATCGTGGGTTGTGCGTTCTCTGTAGGTGATCGTTTTGTGATAGGTAACATGTCGCTGTGCTGCCCTTGTAGGCGTCTGGAGATCAAGTTAAAAACTTCAATGGTTCTTCGGGCATGTCGAAATGTGTACTCGTCCGACTGTAACCAACACTAATTTGGAAGATATGCAAATTCTAGTTGTCTGACAACTGCAACTGATCTTATGTTGTCGTAGCGTGCTGCTAAGATGACGGCCGACTGGGCACTGCTTGCGTTCCGTTCGGAATTTGATCTTCATTCTTTGCGTTCGACGCCTATGACTGTACAACGTATGCTAATTTGTTTTTGGTTGAGAAAACGCGATTTTATTTTGGCGTTGGTCTTTGTCGTATTTACAAAGCCCAGCACGCATGTGGCCCCACCAGTCGATCCAGGTGCTGGACACAACACCCTGTTTCACTTCATCCATTTCGGTGACATGAAGTCGGAGGGATCCGTCGGCTACGATATTCGATAATATGGGGGTCTTCGCAGGCAGATCGCTCGCGGCCTCAGCTGAGGCTATTAATATTGATGTGAACGGCGCCGCACCCGACTTCTGTGCGGCGCTGGGGTGCGGTTTCCCGGCGGTTGTTGGGTGCTGGCCGCTCGGCCCACATCTGACGTCCGCATATGCGCGTTCGAAGGTCACGTTACAGAGAATGCCCGCGCGTTCAGACAAAGCCACAGACTCTTTCCAAAGCTGTTTCAGGCTCATCTGATTCGCTTTTGGACCCGTGTCGGACACGTTAGCGGGAGTTGACCGCGAACATGCGGCTGCCCAATTTGATACAGGTGGCGTTCATTTGCCGTGCGTACTGGTACCAGGAACTGGAAATGCATGAACACTACTTGATGCCATTGGCGGAGCTCGAGCCCTGGCGGCTGTCACTCGGCGTTCGTTAGTTTTATCATTCTAATGGGCTGACTCCTGGGTCTGCAACTTCCAATGCTAGTGTCGCGAATGGCTCTGGCCGCGCGAGCCCAGCTCTCAACTGTCGTGAGTTTGGCGGCAGGCTATCATCGCCACATAGGTTAGAGTTTTTATGCTTCAAATGTTCGACCCTCGATGCATCGGCGGGTACTGGTTAAATAGAGTTTGTATGCTTCAAATATTCGACCCTCGATGCATCGGTGGGTACTGCTTAAACGACGTGATCAAGTAGGCTTCGGTTGTGTTGAATCTCAAGTTTATGTTACCAATGCATGCTTGCTTTATGACGCTGTTTAACCTGAACCCCTGACATAGTGAAGGACATTTATTTTCAACATAACAGATTCCCGGCTCATTCCGCTGAAAGCCATTAGTTGAAAGCTGTCCTGGCGATATGAAGCGCCGCATTTCGAAGCGTGTGTAGCAGTGAAATGTGACGGGTAAATGTGATGATGTGGCGATAATTGATCTGATCATTCAAAAGCCAGTCAGGGGCCTCAGGGGGAGGCAGCAGCAGACGTGAGTGTGCTCGTCACGTGGGTGACGCCGCCAGTCAGCGGCCTCTGGGGCGGAGTGACACGAGGGCGTTGGCGGGCGGGAGTGTCATGACCATGTGGTCCTTCGGTCCGGTCAGTAGTTGTAAAAATATAAGGCCGCCCAAAAGCGGGACGGAGGCAGCGGCTGGGCACAGCGGCCGGGCCGCTGATGCTACGGAACCGCTGCATTGTTGGCGCTAAGACAGGTGCGGCGTGCGGCCTCGTTGGCGGCTAAGCCGTGATGAAAGTGGCGAAAGAGTACGTCCTGCGCTACACTTTCCCCGTTAACCCTGGGCACAGCTGGTGCGCGTCACCTGACCGCCGACTGGGCCGCCTCGTCCCCACCTCCCGCAAGGTTTTCGTAGATGCGTCTGGAGCAACGCGTCGAGCGGAGGTGCACCCAATAGGGGGGGGGAAGGGAGGGGGGGGGGGGGGGCGGCACGGGGCATGGCATACAACGGCCCAGTTGAACAGACAGCTGCTCACTGAATCTGTTTGGCGACTGGTCATGTTGTGAACGTAAGCAGGACCTTACGCCACCATGCTATTCTTTGAGCATGGCTGTGTAAAGAAGAGTCCACCGCGTGAACCTGGACGTGGAAGAGAGGAGCCGCACGTTCCAAGCAAGGTTAAGGGGTTAGCTCTCCCTCTGAAATCCGGTCCAAAACCCCACAGGACTGAAACATTTGGACCAGCGATCGCTTTTAATGCAAACCAAGTGCTCCCAGGGCATCCTGCAGAGTAAGATGTTTGTAAATGGTCCCAGCCGCGAAACTTTGCAGAAAAGGCCTCGGGGGTTTTACGAGGTTAACCAAAACAGACTACGTTGTCTCAAATTCAGACTGGGTGCTTGTCCGCACAAATTCTGCGGAGACCCCAACAAAGCATATCAAACAACACCGAACAGTGCACCTCACCATAACAGCCCCAGATGCTGGGAAGGGACCTAACTGGGAAGAGGCCCAAAATATGCATGTTTGAACGTTTGCTGGAATGGCGCAGTGGTTAGGCTATCTCAAGCATAGCTTATTGCATGAACGCTGACACCGCTACCGAAGTGGTTGGAATATGGGATGTGCTTTTGGCTGCATTTAAATTCAAGTATCAGTGTATTTAGTTTCAGAGGCTGCTATGCGTAAAAATGTCATGGCTAATGGCTGTTATATTGCAATATATTTGTCGTGCTCCGTTTAGAGCCCCTACTGAGCGATCCCCGAACGGTTCAAGTGGCTTGCATTGCTTGCCCAGCATTTACGCCTTGGATGTGACCAGCATCCTGACGGCTGTCTCGACGCGGGACCTTCCCTCCCGTTTCTGATCCAGCGCGCTTGCCCCGATAGCGTCACGGTAACCAGAGCTTGGCTCACCGTCTGCCAGCGCGCCGCCGGCTTGCGCGCTCTTCCCGGTAGCGTGCCAGCGACGTCCTCCCGGAAGCCAGAGCGCGTTCAATCCCCGCTGGCGCTGGCGCTGTGACCAGCGGTGCGTCCCGCCGTCTCGGCCGCGCGTCCGGCCGCGCTCAGCCGCGGTCGATGGAGGCGCGTCGGAAGGTCACCGCCGTCGCCGGGGTTCAACCACGCGCTGGAGTTAATCATCACCCGCGCAGCGCCGCTTCCCAGCTGCTCCGCTTTCAGCCGCGGCCCGTCTGTCCTTTACGGTCGCTAGTCCCTGCAGGGCCGCCGCCAGTGGTCTTGCACGAGTCCGCATCTGTCTGCTATTACGGGGCGATCTCGCTGTTAGGAAGCGTGCCCGGGCGGGGGCCGTCGCCCGTGTTCCCTTCTGGGCGACTGCCGGCGCCGTGGCGCTGAGACGGACTGTGCCGCGTTCCAGCCGCTTTCAGCAGCGCCTGACGCTGGAGCTGCTCTCGGGGCTGGCCAACGCCATGCTGGACGGCACCGTGTTCCAGATCGTCGAGAACCTGACCGAGATCCAGCACGTGACCGAGAAGCGGGCGTTCCAGATGCGCCAGCAGCTAGCGGCCGACCACAACGGTGGGTGATGTGGCGGCGGGCTGGCCTCATGCTCTGCGCCAGGGGTCGGAGCGAGGCGCGCAGCGGGGGATGATGTGGCGGCCGCCAGGGGTCGGAATGAGGCGCACGGCGGTGGGTGATGAGGCGGCGGGGTGGCCTCATGCTCTGCGCCAGGGGTCGGAGCGAGGCGCGCAGCGGGGGTGGTATGGCGGCGGGCTGGTCTCATGCTTGGGGTGCCAGGGGTCGGAGAAAGGCGCGTGGGTGATTTGGCGCATGGGTGATGTGGCGGCGGGCTGGCCTCATGCTCTGCGCCAGGGGTCGGAGCAAGGCGCGCAGCGGGGGTGATGTGGCGGCCGCCAGGGGTCGGAATGAGGCGCACGGCGGTGGGTGATGAGGCGGCGGGGTGGCCTCATGCTCTGCGCCAGGGGTCGGA